TTAGATCCCCTCTTTTGTGAAATATCTTTTCCAGTCTTTGACCCAAATTGGGTTGTCTGTCTCTTTCTTGTTTGGTGGGAGTCCTGTTTATAGTCAGGAAGCAGTTTTTTGTTGGTTGCATGTATTACAAATAACTTCTTCCACTTTGTGGCTTATCATTTCATTCTCTCAATGCTTTTGTTTTTTGATGAATGTAAATTCTTAATATTTGTAGTCAAATTTATTACTTGTTTTCTTTATAGTTAGTACTTTTTATATCCAGTTTGAGAGATCTTTGTTTACTGCAAAGTCATAAAGATATTATCCTATTCAGACATAGCTCAGAGACATTGCGGGTTTACTGTCATGGTCTAGAACCAAACCTGCAATATCTCTGAGAGACTCCTTAAAAAAAACCCAAAAAACCACTAGGAATAAAACCACTATATGACCCAGCAATCCCATTACTAGGCATATACCCTGAGGAAATAAAAATTGGAAAAGACACATGTACCCCAATGTTCATTGCAACTCTGTTTATAATTAGCTAAAACATGGAAACAACCTAGATGTCCTTCGACAGATGAGTGGATAAAGAAGCTGTGGTATGTGTGTGTGTATGTATGTGTATATATATATATATATATATATATATATAATGGAATATTACTCAGCCATAAAAAAGGAACACATTTGAGTCTGTTTTAATGAGGTAGATGAAACTAGAGCCTATCATACAGAGTGAAGTAAGTCAGAAAGAGAAATATAAATATTGTAATCTAATGCATATGTATGGAATCTAGAAAGATAGCACTGATGAGTTTATTAGCATGGCGGCAGTGGAGAAACAGACCTAGAGAACAGACTAATGGACACAGTGGGATTTGGGGAGGGAGAGGGTAAGATGTATGGAGAGAGTATAGAAACTTACAATACCTTACGTAAAATAGATAGCCAATGGGAATTTGCTGTTGAGGGAACTCAAACAGGGGCTCTGTATCAACCCAGGGGGTGGGATGGGGAGGGAGATGGGAGGGAGGGTTAGGAGGGAGGGGACATGGGTGTACCTATGGCTTATTCTTGTTGGTGTTTGACAGAAAACAACCAAATTCTGTGAAGCAATTATCCTTCAATTAAAAAGAAATAAATTTTTTTTTAAAAAAGAAAAAATAATGGTGCTGATGGACTTGCTTGATGCAGGGTTGCCATAAACCTTCAATTTGGAAAAAAAAAAAAAAAGCACAATCTGTGAAGTGAAATAAAATGAAGCATAGTAGAGCAAGATATGCCTGAATTATTTTCTGGAAGTTTTCTTTTTCACATGTTGATCCGTAATCCACCTGAAATTGATGTTTGCTTGGTGTGAGCCAATAATCATGAATTTGATTTTTTTTTACCCTATAGTGTGTGCATGCTAATTTGCTTCAGTTGTGTCCACTTCTTTGAGACACTATGGACTGTAGCCTGCCAGACTCCTCTGTCCTTGGGATTCTCCGGGAAAAAGAACACTGGAGTGGGTTGTCATACCCTCCCCTAGGGGATCTTCCCAACTCAGGAATTGAACCCAGGTCTCTTAACATCTCCTGCATTGACAGGCAGGTTCTTTACCACTAGCGCCACCTGGGAAGCCCACTCTTATAGTGATATTAATCCACTTGACATGAGTATATTGAACAGGCTGTCCTTTACCCATTACACTGTATTTCTTATGCCTTCATGACATATTTCCATTCTTTTGCCTGCAGTCTGTTTGTATCCTTATATTTAAAGATGTATGTGTCTTATAAGCAACATGGAATTGGATTTTGCTTTTTTTTATTCTAGTCTAAAACCTTTGACTTTTAAATACAGTATTTATCTATTTATATTTAATGTAATTCCTAATATATTAGGAATAAATAGTTCTATTTTGCCATTTTCCCTATCTATATCACATTCATTCCTGTCCTTATTGCTTTCATTAAACCAATACTTAAGTATATTTTAATTTTAAAACACTCACATATTGGCTTGTTAGTTATACATTCTTTAAATCTCTCTGCTTTTTGATTACCATAAGGAGTTCAGTATGAATCCATGAGTTTTTAAAATTTAATACATTGAGCACTTTACTACTTTCTGGAAACACAAGGACCTGAAACTATTTTAATGCCTCTCATTCCCTCTTTGGTCATGTATTTTAAGTCTTCATATACTTTAGATCACAAAAGAAATTATTACTGTTTTTTTTATATCAACAGTCACTTAAATTTAGCTACATATTTACCTTTCCATTGTTTTTCATTCCTTCATGCATATCCTTGGGCTTTCTAGGTGTCTCAGTGATAAAGAATCACCAGCTATCTGTCTGGTTTTGACATTAGGGTGATGGTGGCCTCATAGAATGAGTTTGGAAGTTTACCTTCCTCTGCAACTTTCTGAAAGAGTTTGCGTAGGATAGGTGTTAGCTCTCCTCTAAATTTTTGGGAGAATTCAGCTGTGAAGGCATCTGGTCCTGGGCTTTTGTTTGTTGGAAGATTTCTGATTGATTTCTGTGCTTGTGATCTGTTAAGATTTTCTATTTCTTCCTGCTTCAATTTTGGAAAGTTATACTTTTCTAAGAATTTGTCCATTTCTTCCAAGTTGTCCTTTGTATTGCCATATATTGCTGATAGTAGTCTCTTATGATCCTATGTATTTCTGTGTTGTCTGTTGTGATTTCTCCATTTTCATTTCTAATTTTGTTGATTTGATTCTTCTCCCTTTCTTTCTTGATGAGTCTGGCTAATAATTTGTCTATTTTATTTATCTTGTCAAAGAACCTGCTTTTGGTTGTGTTGATTTTTGCCATAGTCTCCTTTGTGTTTTTTTGCATTTATTTCTGCCCTAAGTTTTATGATTTCTTTTCTTCTACTAACCCTGGGGTGCTTCATTTCTTATTTTTCTAGTTGCTTTAGGTGTAGAGGTTATTTGATTTCTCTCCTGTTTCTTGAGGTAGGCTTGTATTGCTATGAAGCTTCCCCTTAGCACTGCTTTCACTGAATCCCATATAATGAGGTGGATGAAACTGGAGCCTATTATACAGAGCAAAGTAAGTCAGAAAGAAAAACACCAGTACAGTATATTAATGATGACCCTATGTGAGAGACAACAAAAGAGAAACAGTTGTAAAGAACAGACTTTTGGACTCTGTGGGAGAAGGCGAGGGTGGGATGATTTGAGAGAATAGCATTGAAACGTGTGAAATTTCATATGTGAAACAGACCGCCAGTCCAGGTTCGATGTATGAGACAGGGCGCTCGGGGCTGGTGCACTGGGATGACCGTGAGGGATGGGATGGGGAGGGAGGTGGGAAGGAGGGTCAAGATGGGGAACAGATGAACACCTATGCCTGATTCATGTGAATGTATGGCAAAAACCACCACAATATTGTAAAGTAATTAGCCTCCAATTAAAATAAATTAAAAAAAAAAAGAATCATCAGCTAATGCAGAAGATGTGGGCTGAATCCCTGGATTGGGAAGATCCCCTGGAGAAGAAAATGGCAACCCACTCCAGTATTCTTGCCTGGAAAATCCCATGGGTAGAGGAGCCTGGCAGGCTATAGTCCCATGGGGTCACAAAAGAGCTGGGCATGACTTAGTGACTAAATAACAACAATAATGCATGTCCTTGCTCCCAGCTGGGATCATTTCCTTTACTGTGCGTATACTGAAAGGAATTCTTTCCATTTTTATTTATTTGAAGATACCTTTTTTAACTTTTATTTTTGAATGAAATTAAAATAATTATATAATTTATAGGATGTTACCTTTTTCCCACTATTTTTAAGATGTTGCTTTATTACCTCCTGGCATACACCATTTCTGTCACCCATATTATTGCTTCCTTGAAGTGAATGTCTTTTTTTTTCCCTCTAGCTGTTTTTAAGAGATTTGATCTGTCTTTGTTCAGAAGTTTCACTAAGATGAACCTGGGTGTGTTTTTAAGTTTGCTTTCCCTTCTTTGAGATTGTATCTGAATGTGTAGTTTGATGTCCCTTGTCAATTACCTGAAAATTCTCATCAATAGCTCTTCTAATATATAGCTTCTGTCTCATTTTTTCTTACTTACTTACTTTTGGATTCATCATTTATAGTTACAGGCTTTAAAATAATGATGATCCATATATTTAGGAAGATAGAGGACATGGTGGATAATTTCAGAAAAGAACTGAAATGTAAAAAAAAGATAGTCAACAGAAATTATAGAACTGATAAAGTAACCAAAATTTAGAACACAAGAAATAAATTGAATAACAGATTAGACACAGTAGAAGGAAGGATTAATAAATGAAAGATAGTTGCATAGAAAGTGTTTAGTCTGAAGCTGAATGGATGATGAAAAATTTAAAATTTTGGGCTTTTGGCTTTACATTAAAATCAACATTTTTGTGAACATTGAGTCTACATTCCTCATAGCTTTAGCTGGTCTGAGCTGATGAAAGGGCTCCCTGTAAGGGGGTATGTCCCCCCTACTAGCAAGAGTTCACCTTTCTCTTATTGCATTCTGCTACTGAGGCTGAATATCTGTTGTTATGGCTTATATTACCCTTGGACTGCTTCACTCATTTATGTTACCTGGATGAACGTGGGTCAGTAAGGGGAAAAGGTGGGGAGGGACCATCTAGGCAGATGAAGTAGCACATGAAAAAATACCTGCCCTGGGGGAGTTGGGCAAGTCTAGGGACTCAAATGAAGGCAGCAAGACAAGAGAACAAACGTGAGAAGGGTTGTTGTATTGAACCACTGAGTCTTGAAAAATATTTAGGATCTTGGATATCCTAACAGACCAAGTAGCTAAGAAGGACTATACTTATTTCACTGTTACTCGATGGTATACAAATTTGGCCCCTCTGAATCTTCTGGTTGAAATAATCCATCATTATGTAAAAGTGATTTGTTCATTCTAACTTTTTAGCCAGGTGGAAAAGCTATTGATTTGATATGATGAAAGCAGCACTGAATTAATCTTCATGCCTTTGTTTCTCCTCTGCCTTATAGCTGCAAGTGTCCGCTGCTTGGAAAAGTGTGGGAAGCTGACTTGGAAGCTTGTCGGTTGCTTATCCAGAGCTTGCAGCTCCAGGAGGCCAGGGGCAGCCTGTTTGCAGATGAGAGACAGATGGATGACTTAGGGGGAGGTGCTTATACAGTGGCTCTGGCCACCCCCCTGAGGTCCCTCCCTGAAGAGGAAAGGAAGACCCCTTTGCACGCCTTTGAAGAGTGGATGGTGCACCTGACTCCCTCTCCTCACAGTGCTAGCAGTGAACAGAAAGAGGTCTGTCCATCCTCATAAGATTAAGGATTCTTACTCTGAGGGGGCTTTGGGACCACACTCCAAGTCAGAGCAGTAAATACTGGGTGGGCTTCCCACTGACCCACCCAAACTCTTTAAAGTTTTAACAACTCCTGAACACGATTTCAAAATGATGCAGAATTTTTATGGAAGTTGTTTAATATATAGGAGAATGGAAAAAAAAAAACTTTTGGCAAATTTAGTTCTATTTTTATTCTAATTTCATGGCTCTAGTCAGAATATATAAACTAACATATAATTACTGTATATATATAGCCCACACTCTATATGTAATATATAACATGCAGCTGTTGTCTGTATACATATTATATATGTCATCTATGATATTTAATTCTATATTTAGAATATATATTCTACAATATTTATTCATTAGAATCAAATATATGTATATATTCCATTAACTGTTTTTGCCAAAGCAAGATCATAATGAATGTTAGAATTTGCTCTTTTCATTTAAAATACCTAAGATATGGCCTGTGATATATGCATTAAAAATTAAAGTGTAGATTTATTCATTGTTTTACTGCAGGGCTGACCTAGATTCACAGAGATCTGAGTTCCCCACCCCTCCCCTCCGTGCTTCATCTCTCCTTTCTCTCCCTTCCCCTTGCTCACTTTCCCTTCTAGCCTTAATATCCTTTCAACAAAAGGACTCTAGGAATTTCTTTCCAGTTTCAGTGCCATGACAGGAGGCTTCAGAGCACTTTTCTGGCCAGATTCCCAGGTGTTTTGAATAGTAAAAGAAAATAAAACCTTGGTGAAGCTGGAGGGGGGCCTTCCCAGGTGGTGTGGTGGTAAAGAATCTGCCGGCCAGTGCAGGAGACACAAGAGATGTGGGTTCGATTCCTGGGTGGGGAAGATCCCCAGGAGGAAGAAATGACAATCCACTCCAGTATTCTTGCCTGGAAAATTCCATGGGCAAAGGAGCCGGCAAGCTGCAGTCCATGGGGTCACAAAGAGTCAGACACGACTGAGTGACCAAGCACGCACACCCAAGTCTGGAGGAACATGTCATTCCACGTCCATGTCTCACAGTTGGCATTAGATGTGCCCCCTCCCTGGGTCGTTGCCACTACTCACCAGGGAACACATCCATGTGGGCACCCCACCCCTGTGGTGTCTGCAGGACCCTGGTCTTTGAGAGCACACACCCTCTGATGATCTGTGCTTACAGTCAACGCCTTCCGGACTTGCTTAGAAAATTGATACTCGATCATATATTTTCATTGAACAACCTTATGAGAAAGCAAACTGTTGTCCCTCTCTGGAATCCTGCTGGCCTCATACAATGAGCCTCTACACCGAGCTGTGGATAATCTCAACCCCTTTGTTAGCTGAGGCCCTGCAGGTGGAATCCCCTGAAAAGCCTGGCTGCCTTGCTTCTGGTGCGTTGTTGAAAACTTGCCTGTCTCAGTGGGCCAGCTTCGAAGAATATTCCGATGCAAGGGGCACGCTGCCTGGTCATCTCCAGTTCTGTGTCCTTCATGTTCCATGTACTGTCCCTGCATTGCTTTCTGGGGATTAGTCAGAGAGGAAGGTGGGCATCTTTGGAACTCTTGAGCTTCCTTTCTGGAAAGGACAGAACTATAGAAACAGAAAACGGATCAGTTGTTGCCGGGTACTGGTGCGGAGGGGTGGGGATGAGGGGCGCGGGGCACCTGTCACAGACGGCAGCATGAAAGCGTTGTGGGTGGGGCGGTAGTGAGAGAAATACTCTGTATCTTGACTGTAGTGGTGGCTGTGTAGTGGTGTGCGCGGGTACATGCTAAGTCACATCCGTCATGTCTGACTCTCTGCAGTGCTATGGGCTGTAGCCCTCCAGACTCCTCTGTCCATGGGATTCTCCAGGCAAGCATACTGGAGTGGGTTTCCACGCCCTCCTCCAGGGGATCTTCCCAACATAGGGATCGAACTGCATCTCTTCCATCTCCTGCAGTGGCAGGCAGGCCCTTTACCACTTGCGCCACCTGGGAAGTCTCTACATAACTGAGTGCCTATGTCTAAATTTATAATTTTACGCCAAAATTTTTACTGCATGTCATGTTACAAAAATGACTGTAATTTTAAAAATAATCTCTCCCTATTTTAAAAGTGAGGCTCTAGCTGTTCTATTTGGTGGCGTTTGTCTCAAGGCTATCAGAAGGCAGATGAGCAGAGCTGAGGCCGCTGGGCTGTATACAGACTGCGTTTCCTCCTCTATTAAAAAAAAAAAAATGGGGACAATGAAAAATATCTCATGAAGGAAGATTGTGGAGATTTAAATAAAAGAATGCATCTAAAAGTGAGTGATACGTACATGGTGCTGGCAGTTTAGTTGCTAAACCATGTCTGACTCTTTGCAAGCCCATGGACTCTAGCTCACCAGGCTCCTCTGTCCATGGGATTCTCCAGGCAAGAATACTGGAGTGGGCAGCCATTTCCTTCTCCACAGGATCTTCCTGACCCAGGGATTGAACCTGTGTCTCCTGCATTGCAAGCAAATTCTTTACCATCTGAGGGAAGCCCTGATACATACATAGTACAGGCTTAACTCATAATTGTGTGTGTGTTCATCACTCTTTATGGCAGTCACAAGAATCTCTTAAGACCTTTTTAAAGTAGTATACCCTGCTTCTTTTATTAAGAAACAGAAAAGAGAGCAATCAATCAGTGGAAGATTTTCAAGTAAAGAAAGATTTAGTAAAGGGACAGTCTTGTTTGTATTGGGGTGAAGGATTCTGAGCTACTGAAAGTGTGAACAATAACCAAGGATTGCATTCAGAGGAAGGTGCTTTTGTTTTCCTGCCGTGGTTTCCAGGGGCTCATTGGATTCTGGTTCCCCATGTATTTGTCCTGAGGCCGTGGTGTCTGTTTGCTTTGCAGCACTGAGATGCTTTTGCTCTGGAACTCCCTGCTGGGTCTGGCCACCCCGCACTGGTTTCTCTCTTGAAACCTGGTGCCCTGAAGGCAGTCAATTACTTTCTAACCTAAATCTTCCATGAAAAATTGCCGACTTCTCCTGGAGGTCCGCAGGGAGATGGGTTTTCAAACCTTCCCTGTGCTTATCTGCCCCACGTGGGTACAAGCATTTTGGTTGCACTGGTTCTCACAAGCGCTTTGTCATTAATTAGAGATTTTGCTGTGTTTAGGGTCCCACCGGGCTTCGCAGCACCATTTCTCCCATTTTACAACTGGGCCCATTAAGGCATAGTAATGTGCTGTGGGCTTTGTTACCTAGGAAGCTGGCCGCAGGGCGAAGGGCCAATTTTCACTTGCGCTTCGTCAATGGTAAGAGCCCTCTTCTTTTTCAGCTTCATTACAGCTCTCCGGCAAGCTTTGCCTCAGCCTCTGGAAACAATCAGCTGCTGTTGGCCCTGCTTTATAGACATTACAGAAATTACATGAGGGCCAGACAGAAGCTGGGGAAATCAGTGAGCCAGCTTCCTCCACTCTGAAGTTGCTCTTTTGTACTTGCTGTTCTGGCCATTATACCTGCGTAATTCTCTCTTTCCTGTCTGCAGCCTGTCCTGCTGGGGTGCTTTCTGTTTTTACTACAAAGTGGGCTTCAGTCCCGCCGAGTTCCCCTGGACAGCATCACTCTCCCTGCCTTTTGCCTCCACCTGCTTCCTTTCCCAGCCAGGAGCTGCTCAAAGAGGCGAAAAAAGGCCCAGCAGCTTTGAGCATCTCACGCAGGATTGGAATAGCCAGGGTGTTAAGATGTCTGCAGTGAAGGGAATTAGCACTAGGATACAGGGTGACTTTATGTTTTTAGTTTCTGCTTTGTGATTGAAGTCCAGTTAACTTACAGTTTTTCTTATTATCGTTGTGGTTGTGGTTTCGTCTCCAAGTTGTAGCCGACTCTTTGTGACCCCATGGACTGTAGGCTGCCAGGCTCCTCTGTCCATGCGATTTCCCAGGCAAGAAAACTGGAATGGGTTGCCATGCCCTTCTCCAGAGGATCTTCCCAACCCACGGATTGAACCCAGGTCTCTTGCATTGCAGTGGATTCTTTACCATTTAACCCACCAGGGAAGCCCTTTAGTTATTATATAGGTCTCCAAAAATGCCAATGTCTCCCAATTTCATTTTATTCCATTTCACATGACAGGAAAGCTGAAAAAACTAATATGTGGTGAAGAAGTGTGTCCTCACCATCTTAAACTGATTTATAATTCTAGAAACATCTGTAGTGGTTGAAGGACTTATTTTCCAGTCCTGGCAGATGCAGGTTTGCTTTTCTCTCTTCCCCATCACTTCCTGGCTCCCCTGAGCTCTCAGCAGGGCAGCAGCCTCACCAGTGAAGCAGGGTAAAAAGAGCAGGGCCTGAACTACATGCCTTCCTTTTTTTTTTTCATTTGTATTTTTAATTGGAGGATAATTGCTTTACAATGTTGTAAAGCATTGTATGGTTTCTGCCGTACATCACCATACCCCTCTAAGTTGTCCCAGAGCACTGGGTTGAGCTCCCCATGATGCACCAACTTTCCACTGGCTACCCACCTTACATATGGTAATGTATATATTTCAGTGCTGCCCCTGAGCTCGTCCCACCCTCTCCTGCCTCCACCGTGTCAAGTGTGTGCTCTATGTCTGTGTCCCTATTCCTGCCCTGCAGATAGGTTCAGCAGTACCATCTTTGTAGATCTCATACATATGCATTAATATACAATATTTGTCTTTCTCTTTTGACTTACCTTGTATAACAGGCTATAGCATCCACCTCACTAGAACAGACTCAGATGCATTCTTTTTTATGTAACAGTCCATTGTATATTTGTACAACTTCTTTATCCTTTCACTTGTTAATGGACATGTCCTCTTGGTAGCTCATCTAACTTGAAATTTGTGAGACAACCCCCAGGCTGGAATGCTCACTTAATCATTAGCTGCTTTTTCTCTTTCTGTCTAAGGCCTTTGAGGAGAAAGCAGAAAACTTGGGCATGAAGAGAAATTCCACCCTTTCTACAATTTAGCATTTTGTG